TGCCGTCGGGGATGCATCGGCGACGCCGGCGTGAGGAAACGCGGGCTCCACATCGAGCCGCATCGTGGATGCATCGGTGATGCGGCGCGATCCTCCGACCCCATCCACTCTGACCCCCTCCAGGAAGCCTAGAAACAGAGAGGAGGAGGAGGAGGAGGAGGAGGAGGAGGAGGAGGAGGAGGAGGAGGAGGAGGAGGAGGAGGAGGAGGAGGAGGAGGAGGGGAAGAAGGAGGAGAAGGAGGAGGAGAAGGACTCGTCCGCGGGATCGCGCCGTCGGATCTCAAGGCATCCTCGAGCCCCCTCCCTCTCCAGAGGGGGGGGCAACAAGCTACCGATAGCGCCACTCCCTGGACCTCTCCCGGGGGTGCGCTCTGACCACGGCTTGGAAGGCGAGTCCAGCCGTGGCGGCGAAGGAAGGGCGGCAGTGTCGGAATGCGTTGCTCCTCCGGCCCTCCCCCTCCCTCCCTCCCAGCCGCCTCTCTACAGCAGGGGCCCTTCCTCAAGAAACACAAGCCTGAGACCCCAGGACGTCCATGGATCTTTGGCTCGGGGACGTCACGCTATCGATCGCAGAACCATCGAAACCCAAAAAGCCCCCAGGGCACCCTAGAGGCAAGCAAGGTGTTTCTTGACATTGGCCGTGGGCCCCCACTTTCGGATGCAACTCCTGGGAAATCAAATTCTGATCTTGCCCTGCTCCGAAATCCGGCTTAATCCGCCTGAATCCCATTTAATCCGGCTTCATCCCGCTTAACCCGGCTTGATCACACTTAATCCCGCTCAGTCCCGCTTAGTCCGAGGCCCACTCTGGCGCAACAGCCCTCCAATGGGGCTCAATTTTCCTTAAACCTTCCGACGATGATCGGGTCGGGCGAAAGGGGGGGATAGCAAAGGGGGGGGTTGAGAATCAGCTCACGTAGCTGATTTTCCTGGCGCCTCCCGGCGCCGGAGGCGGCCACGTATCGAGGAATGGGCCCCTCGGTGAAGCCGAAACCAGCTGCATGCGGCAAATTTCGTAACCCCCCCTTTCCCAATCCCCCCCTTTCGCCCGGCCCGAGATGACCTCCCAGCAGTTGCCTCCTAACCCACCGTGACGAATCGCGGCTGCACCTGTCACGTCCGCCAGGCCCCGCCTGGCAGCAGCGCTCTCTCGTCCGAGGGGCCGCGGGGGCCGCCTCGGCCCCTCCAGGCCGAAGGCAGGCGCGGCAGAGGGGAGGGAGGAGGGAGGAGGGACTTGCAGTGGGACCTGCAGTGGCAGGAGGGAGGAGGAGGGACTTGCAGTGGCAGGAGGGAGGAGGCAGGAGGGAGGGAGGAGGGAGGAGGGGGAAAGGAAGCGAGGAGGACCGCCTGGGGAATGGAGGGAAAGGACACGACGACCATGACCAGGGCCGAACGCGAAAACCTCGGTGCCGATCTTGGTCTTCGCCCGTCTTGGTCACCGTCACTTCGTGGAGCATCCTCGCGAATCGGCGACGGCCGGCGTCGACTATCCCGCGACATCGTGGTCATGGTCTTTGTGTTTTTTCGCTCGAGGGTTCGTCTCCATCAAAGCTCGCACCCGCCGAGCCCTGCCGAGATCATTGTGCGTCCAGGGTGGCGAAACGTTACTTTACTGCCCGCGGCTTCTTGCCGTCGAGGCGGGGATTTATACATACATCGGCCCAATGAAAGTTCCTGGAATTTTCCTCACGACGCTGGCCGGCGGAAGTCGACGGAAGTAAAACGAGGCGGAAGACTGGGGAAGGCCGCCGGAAGGCTTGCCAATGTCAGCGGAAGTAAACGACGCCCCTTTCCGAACCCCCTACCCCCGTAGAAGCCTAGCAATGTTGTCTTCCTCCGTGGGCCGGGCGGGATCCCGCCTCGCTTATTCCGCTTTAATATTATAAGTTTAGTTCAGGACGATCAACATCCCACCCATTAAAAATGGGGTAGACCAAAATCCCGGGCCGTTCACGGATCCCACCATGCTGGGATCGGCTCGAAGTAAGATGGGGCTCATAAGTTGCAGTATTATTGCCGTGTTGGGGTCGTCTTGAGGTCATCTTGAGATCGTATCCGGGTCATGTTTGGATCACGCAACCATCGCGTGGTCATTATAAGGCCACCCTGGGCGCGCTTGGATCCATCTTGTTGTCATCGGGCCATCTCGGCGTCACGCGTTGCTCATGTGCTTCGTCATCTGCGAGTCGGCCTGAGACGGTCCAGAATCCATGGCGGGATCGCGTTGGGGTGGCATCATCCTGAGTCCTCTGGACGTTATCGTCCGTGGCCTGAGGCATTCCTGGAAGCATGTTGTGGCCATGGGACGTCTTGGGATCGCGTGCGTGCGAACGCTGAGCATGCGCGCGTGACTTTTCATCTTGCCGACGGGTTTACATACATATTATTCCTCTTGCGAGTTTCAAAGGAAACTTTTGTTGGAGCCAAGTATCCACCGCCTGGGAAACCGATGTCCTGCTACCCCAGGGGGCTGTGGATGCGGTTTATTTCAACCATCTTCCGAGGCCCAGGAAGATCGATCCCTCAGGCAGTAAACACGTATGAATCCCGACCTCGGACAACATCGTCTCTCAGAACGAGTCCCCAGACACCAGACCCCTCCAGGGATACATCGTGGCTTGGTTTTCGTCTCGGACCCATGCTTGACCGTTCTGGGGCTCGAAGCGGGCCCCTTCAAGTTGAGTATTCTGGACCTGTTCTGTTGTTTTCAAGACGTCAGCCCAGGACCTGTCCAGAGGTACGTTTTCCGTCGGACTTCGAAGGGGAATCCTGCCGTGGCAACGGGAAGCCCCCCTGGACCCCAGCTGGAGGCCCCAAAAATGTACACCACCGCCAGCTCCCTCACCCCCGCCCTCTCCCAGGGAAAAGGAGGGGCAGAGGAGGGCAGAGGAGGGAGGAGGAATCGACGTGGTGGTGGTGTATATTCTTGGGGCCCCCACCAGGGGAAATTCAACAAACAAGCGAGCAAACAAAAACGAACACTTCCGGCCTCGATTCTCCAAGAGTAAAACCCCAGAGTGAAACCCTAATCAGTGGATGGTTTGATCAATAAGGAGATCGACCGGGAACCCCAGAACCCAGAACCCGCCGAAAGCGGCCCGGAACCAATAACCAGCAACACGGGAACCCGGAACCGGGAGCCCAGAAACCCAGCCGGCCATCAACCTCTGCGGGACACTTTCGCCAGATCTTTCGATTTCCGCCAGGACCCCGTCAGTGCAAGCACTGATTGGGGAACAAGCATGAAGTCGGGCGTGTCCCCCTACAGGCGGATGTTGGGCGAAAAATTGAAAAGACCCAAAAAACAACCCAAATGCTCAAAAATGGCTTTAAAAATCGTCCCCTGACTATTTTTTGACTATCTTTGAAAACTCCTCCTGTAGAGGGACAGGCCCGACTTAAAACAAGCGAGCAAGACAAAACCGAACACTCCCGGCCTCGATTCTGTCGAGGCCCGCGGCAAAGGATCTGGACCCTCGCTTGGCGGCAGGCCGCCCGTGGACGCCAGGTCGAAGCTGGCACTCGACAGGCTCGGTGCTCGGGCAGAGGAGGGGGGTGGGGGAGGGGGAGGGGGAGGAGGAGGAGGAGGAGGAGGAGGAGGAGGAGGAGGAGGAGGAGGAGGAGGAGGAGGAGGAAGGAGGAGGAGGAGGAAGAGCAGGAAGAGGAGGAGGAGCAGAAGGAGGAGCAGGAGGAGGAGGAGGGGAGGCGGAGGCCGTTCCACCCTCCCTGGCCGCCCAGCTTCGTTGTCGCCGGCGGCCCCCTGGCCACTTGCAGGAGCGCCGAGGCGGACGAGCTCTCTCGGGCGCATCGGAAGATCAAGAGGTGAGCAAACGGATGGTCCGCGAAGCTGGCCCGGAGACCGCCGTCGGAGAGCGCTCGGGCCAGCATGCGGGGCGAGCCTTCCAGCTCCAGTGGCTCGTCTTGCCGCCGTGGCTGGTGCTGAAGCTCCCCATGGCGGGTAGGCCTTGGCAGGATCAGCAAACATCGAACTACCCCAGAACGGTCCCAGGATGGATCATCTACCGAGCCTGCCCGGAGAGACCGATACGCAAAAACATCCTGCGTGCACTTGCGCGCGGGAGCAAGGACGTACGGTAAGAAATCTTGCCGTCAGATATTTGGGGGCGCTTTGGGCGTCGCTCTTTGATGGTCCCAATGTGCCACAATACTTCTGTGGGTCCATCGTGGGATCAGGAATCTCCGTCTTGGAGAACGAATCCAAAAACCGTACGGTGATCCCGAATCCCCACTGACTCACCACGCTGTGTGGTCACCGCGATTGGGCCATAACTCGTTCCTCCGGCGGCAGTTCGGGACGATTCTGGCACACCCGGAACACCCTCGACGAGGCGCAGCTGTGGAAATCATCCCGGGGTTCGGAAACTTTCGGAGACTACCGAGGACTCCCGAAAACTTCCGACAACTACCGGCTCACACCACGCTGTGTGGTCACCATACAATTTGCGAGTGGCACCGATGATCAGAACCAGGCCGACAACTTCGCCAGAGATCGCTTCGCTGCTGCGCCCGCAAGGAAGTGACGTGGCAGGCCGCGCGACCAGAGAGCCGTCGGGCAATGCGAATGGAGGGTGACCACTAGTCGGGCACACGCTGACATGGATTGGGTCGATGGCGATATTCGAACCCTCCCCTCACCAACCATCGATCCTCCTGAATCGATCGGAGGCGGGGGTAGGGATGATCGGATTTCGCCACGTGCTCGACGAGTTCCGAACCCTACCCTTCGCCGCCCGTCGAGTTGCCTGAATCGTTCATCGGCGAGGATAGTGTTCGGATTCCGCCACCGATTAGTGATCTGTGGATCTGGCGCGTGGGCGCCAGATCCACGGATCGGGGAAAAGAATCACCGACACATGGGGCTAGTGCCGCTCGATTGGGAGATGGAGAGCGCCGATCCGGTATGGAAACGGACCCGTCGCTAATCAACACGCCTTACTTCTTGGTTGCGCTTCCTCGACTTCGGAAGGGTGCCCAAATCCTCAAGGAAACAACCCCCCTGGATCCCTCAGAACCCATCAGGACCACACACACACACACACACACACACACGAACCAGACCCCAAAGCGTCCCAAACCTCCTCGATTCTCGATCCTCCACCATCCTCGATGCTCGACTCACAGGAGGAGGAGGTGGAGGAGGAGGAGGAGGAGAAGGAGCAGGAGGAGGAGGAGGAGGAGGAGAAGGAGGTGGTGGAGGAGGAGGACGAGCAGGCGCGCGCGTCAGCATGGGAGCCTGAAGAGGCCCCGCTGGAACCTAGCAGAGAGGGAAGCGGCCAACGATGCAGGTTCGGTTGAACAGCACATCGCTGGGCGGTGCAGCAGGCAAGAAGAGGAGGAGGAGGAGGAGGAGGAGGAGGAGGAGGAGGAGGAGGAGGAGGAGGAGAGGAGGGAGGAGGAGGAGAGAGGAGGAGGAGGGGAGGAGGAGGGGGGAGGAGGAGGAGGAGAGGAGGAGGAGGAGGAGGTCGTGAACCCCGTGGTGATGACCCCCCCTGGCACAGCCCGACGTCGACAAGCGAAGCTCCCAAGGACTGGCCAGGCCGCCACGGCCTCCCGACGCCAGGACAGGTTACGAAGATCTGCAGTGGGAGACCTCCGATCACAACGACGTTTGAGTCCATCAACCACAGCGGCGCTGTCAAAACGGGGATCCCATCTACCATCCTGGGGCACAAACCCCTCTCTCTTCACCTCATCCCCCCCTCTCACCTTCTTTCCTCCTCCTCCTCCTCCTCCCTCTCCCCCTCCTCCTCCTCCTCCTCCTCCTCCTCCTCCTCCTCCTCCTCCTCCTCTTACCCGTCCCCCTAACCCACTTGAATCTGCTCCGCCTCCCTTCTGCCCGTCCCGCTGCTGCCCTCGCTCTCTTCCTCGCTCGCCAGTGCGAGGTGGAGGCGCCAGGTTCCGAGGCGTTTCCGCCCGGAGGTCGGGACGTGCGGAGCGGCAGCTCCCCGTCCTGACCCTCAAGCGATGGGGCAGGGCCGCGGGGCGGACAGAGCCATCCAGCAGCCTCCAGAAACGTCTCCCGCGGCGTAGGGCACAACACAAAGTCACGGAGGACTGAACATATAGAAGCTGCACGTGTTGAGAAAAGAGCTGATACAACATTTATACCACGACCTGTCTTGGGGTGCGCTCTGACCAGGATCTCGAGGAGGGTCCAACAGCGGCGGCGAGGGCTCCCCATGAGTCCCCAACATACCAACGCAACAAAAACATGTTAGAACTCCCCATTCCTAATCCTCCGTTCCTCTCCTTCATTCCAGGATTAGTCAGCATCGAGTCGCGAAGTCAGATCGAATCGAAATGTGCGTCGGATTGGGACGCATCGGCACGGAGTCGAAACCGAATCGGAATAGCTTCGAACAGGACGCACAGCAGCGCTCACGCAGGCATCGGGTCCCAATGGATTGTCAGAACATGGAAACCGAATCGGATCGAGAGCGTCCAAAAACTCTGCGAAATGGTCCGTGCCTGGTCCTCAGAATTCGCATCGGAGATCGGCTACAGAATTGATTCACCCTAAATTCAAGTTTTCGTCGAACCTGTGACAAAAGCACGTAGAATGTTCGCAGATGTGCTAACAATTGGCGCATGATAATTTTGAGGTGCGTCAATTCTGTAATCAATTCCTACTCGAAGAGTGAAGGTCGAAATTCTGAAGCCACTGGATGTCGGAGTGGGTACAGGGCCCCGAGCCAGAGCGCAACGCGCGGGCGGCCGATGCCTAGATTCTTCAGCTCCGGCGAGGCAATCTGGCGGACGCGCATCCGGACCTCCACGGCAGGAGGAAGGAGGAGGAGGACAAGGAGGAGGAGGAGGAGGAGGAGGAGCATGGATGAAGAGGAAAAGGATGATGATGATGATGAGGAGGAGGAGGAGGAGAAGGACTCCACCTCCTCCTCCTCCTCCTCCTCCTCCTCCTCCTCCTCCTCCTCTTTCTCCTCCTCCTCTCTTTGGCCCTCCTCCCGTAGGAGGGCCCAAGATTGGCACGCCCGAGATGGGTACGGGAAAAGCCGACGGCGGCTGCTGTCCGGCAGGCAGCTTGCTGTCTCATGTGGGAGACGTCCGCGGCGACGACGACAGCGCACCCGGTTCAAGATGGACAGGAGCCGCTGTCGGTCCCCGTCCCCATTCTTTCCGTACACACTTCGATCGTACCGGCAAGAGCTGAAGGCCCGCGGTGACAAAAGCGCTCCTGGAAGGGGCCATGGGGGGCCCAAACAGGGAGCGTCACGGGCACGAGCTTCAGGGCCTCTGCGCGGGACTGCTCGGGTCAGCGTCGGGTTGTCGCCTGTCCGCGTCCCCGCACCCCCCAGCGCGCGGAGCACGCCAAGGACTGGGCCGGAGGCTCCGCTTGGGGGATGCGGGGAGGGGGGGCCAGCGCCGATCTAAGAATTCGCGCGGGCGTGCGGACACATGTGATGCTCTTTTGGGATCGTCTCAGAGGGAAGAGCATTTGTTTAGCCTCTGGCGACATTGGGCGTTACGGGGAGGAGGCGGCGGGAGGGGGTGGGGGGGCGGTACCTTCATGACCTCTCGCCGGCGCCGTCTGGGAACTAGCTACCCCTGTCCATTTTCAGACGGCGCCTGTTCCAATCGTGACGTTTTCAGGGCGGGGGAGGGGGGGGGGGCTGCGGAGCCGGTAACGAGCGCCATCGCGAATAGTTACCAAACGCTACCTCCACGGGCATGGAGAAGGGACCCGCAGCACCGACTCGGGGAGTCGGGACGGATCAAAACGTGCGTCGGATCGGGCCACGTCGGCACGGAGCCGGGGTCGGAAGGGACCGGCCGCGCCAGGGTGCACAACAGCGCCATGAACACATCGGGCCGCATCGGATCGTCGGAGGATCGAAATGTTGGAATGAAGGGAGCAGGTCCTCAAGGAAACGGCTGCAGGGCCTGCCCCAAAGACCAACTCGCCATCATCCTGAACTGCTTTGGTCCCGGGGTCCTGGGAGTCCGAAAACAGCGAAAAATCTCCAGGACCCGTTTCCTGAGGACCCGCTTGCTTCATGGCGAGAACCGTCGGAATACAGGAATCGAATCGGATCGGATCGGGCTGGCGGTAAATCAAGATCGAGTCGGGATCGGTCAGATCGGAATGGACCTGTTAAGAGCCCAGAGATCCAGGGCCCTCGTCGTGAAAAGAGCACGGTGACGGAGGTGTCGGCTCGTCCACAGAGAGGGCCACCAGGGCCCCCTGGTTGCCCCAAAACTGTTAGGAGGTTTAGCTTATGGGCTTATGGGACATCTTCGCAAGAAGTGCTTAGGGCGGCTGAGCCCGACGAAGGGGCCACGAAGCCTGACTGGCGCAGATTGAATCCAGAATTCAACCAGATTGGAAGCTAGCGGGATGAAGTGGAATCAAACAGGATTATGCCGGACTGCGCTGGTTGTCTTGACTATGGATGTGCCGGCGCCGATGCTGAAGGGTCCCTCTTCGGGCTACTCAGATCTCCGACGTTGTGATGCGGTCGATCATGAAAGTTGGTTGGTCGATCTTGCCACGAAGGTGGCCGTTGACGGGCCCTTGGGTCACCACAACTATATCCCGGAGGGGAAACTACACCCAGACAAGGGATCAAGACCTCGGGGGCCCGGGATTCAGAAATCACATCGTCGGAAGTCAGTGTGATCGAAAGAATCGGCGCCATGCTTAGACATCGGCACGCACCACCGAGTCGGACGAGTCGTGGACAACCCAAGGGTCGAAGACTGCTGCCAGCCCCCGCTCACTTCTCCATGTCCTTGTCCGTATACTTCTGCCCCTTCTTGCCCTTGCCGCCCTTGCGGTCCAGTAGCGCCTTGCGGTCCTTGTCGAGCTTGATTTTCGTAATCGTCACCTTCGACGGGTGGATGCCAATGGGTACTGTCTGGCCGTTCGCCTTGTCGCGCGTAACGCGCTCGATGTGGATGCGCCACTTCTTGCGGTACACCTGCGTCACCTTTCCCTCCCGGTCGTGGTAGTGGCCCCTGACGATCATCACCTCGTCGTCCCGCCGGATTGGAAGCGAGCGGACAGAGTACTTGGCACGGAGGTCCTTGCTCAGCGGGGCGCTCATGAGCTTCCTTCGAGGAACAGGGTCTACATACAAGTAAACGGTCGAAGGTCCGCGCGGATCTCTTGGGTCAACGCCGGACCCTACCATTGGCGCGCTGAGCGCGCCTGGGGACGCGCCGGAGGCGCCGCCAGGAGGGGGCAGCACAGACCCGAGAGATCCGCGATGCCTTCGGAAAGCTCACGGTCGGGCGGTGCTGCTCAGCGTGTCGCGGCGGCCGCCCCAGCGAAACGCTATGCCCTGCAAGCGGAATCGTGTCGCTCCGCTCCGCGGGGCGGGAGGCCGAGAAGCGCTCGGGACTTTGACGCTTTGGGACTGGGGCGTGGATAGCGTGCCGCGCCGAGGCTTGGAGGGCCAGAGCCGGCGGCGCGACATGCGAACCAGAAAGTTCCAACCGCATGCTTATGCCGCTATTGCTGCCTCCGTTCCTGCGGACGTGCGATGGAGCCGTGAAGTACGCCTTCCGCGACTTGCGACGGGAGACGCTCACGGTGGCCTTCTGCTTCATCGCTCCTCCAACGCCCCGTCTGCGCGAGCGGGTACGGTTTGCCGAGTCTCCCCCGCCCTCCGGCCGACTGAGCCAGATTGGGCACGTATGGACCTCTCCTCCGAGAGGAAGGAAAAGGTGGAGGAGGTGGAACGTGGCCGAGAGAAGGAGGAGGAGGAGGAGGAGGAGGAGGAGGAGGAGGAGGAGGAGGAGGAGGAGGAAGAGGACAGGACATCCGCATAAGGGGGTCAACGTCAACACCTACACTGGCAAAATCCCCTGCGATTAGGTTGTGCAACAGCCCTGACGTCTCATTAGGGCCGGCAGGGGGCGTACCCCGAGGAGGAAGATGATGAGGAAGAAGAGGTGGAACAGACGAGGGGTACGGGAGGAGGAGGAGGAGGAGGAGGAGGAGGAGGAGGAGGAGGAGGTGGAGAGGAGGAGGAAGAGGAGGAGGAGGAGGGAGGAGGAGAGGAGGAGGAGGAGGAGAAGGACGATGCCCAGGCGCCTCCTCCTCCTCCTCCTCCTCCTCCTCCTTCTGTTGTACACGGCGCGCGCAAAGGTGGCGGGAGGGGGGGGGCTGCGGAGGGGGGGGGGCTTCTGGAAGGGGCCTTCTTGCAAACCCTCCGACGACGGTCCAGGCCCACTGTGAAGAAGGTCCGCCCCCGCTTCCCTCGTGCGCCGCCAGTCCTGCTCCTCCTCCTTCTCCTCCTCCTCCTCCTCCTCCTCCTCCTCTCCTCCTCCTTCCTCCTCCTCTCCTCACCTCTCTCCTCCTCCTATTCCTCCTCCCATCCTCCTCCTCTCCTCCTCCTCCTCCTCCTGCTCCTGCTCCTGCTCCTCCTGCTCCTGCTCCTCCTCCTTCCTCCTCCTCCTCTCCTCCTCCTCCCTCCTCCTCCTCCCTCCTCCTCCTCCTCCTCCTCCTCCTCCTCCTCCTCCTCCTCCTCCTCCTCCCCTCGTGCGGGCCGGGGCACCTGGCCGCCGCCAGTGCAATCTGTTTGCCCGCCTCCCCGATCGGGCTCTGCCTGCCCGCTCTGGCTCCGAGCCCGCCTTGCGCACGACGGGCCCGTGGCACCATGGCCCGTTGCACAAGGAGGGGCCCGTCGACCTCTGGGGCTCACGGCGGTGCTGCTGCGGCCGCGGTCCACCGCCAGGCCGCAGCGACGGCCGCACGACGCCGCCGCCGGCGGCGCAATTCCCAGATCGCTGGCGATCTGAGTTTTCCCCAACCGCCCGTTACATTCTGCTTTTGCCGTTCTGTGGCAGTCCCTGGGGCCCAGCGAGGGCCCACGGAGGCCGACAAGGGAGGAAACCGTCGCCCTGCTTTTTAATCCGATACGGTGGAGCTCTCGACACCCCCAGATGCCTGACTTGCCAGCAGCCGGGCAAATGTCTGGCCCGCCTGGCCGCGCAGCTCCCCACCCCACCCCGCCGCTGCTCCATGGCCAGCGCAGCTCCGAGAAACCCGCGAGAACCTCCAAAAATCTGTGTTCGTGACGTTTTTATAAATTTTCCTCGAAACTGGGAGGCCTGGAGGAACGGCGGGGAGACGACGGGGAACGGCTCGCCCTCCGCACTTGGATCAGCGCAGTGGTTGCTAACTTGATGGGGGGCTTTCAGACGGAGCTAAAATGGGAGGGGGTACAGTCCACCGTCGTTGGCATGAACGTCTCAATTTGGAACAGGGGGTCAGAAGCCAGGGCCCCCCCCACCTTAACAAATCCAAGCGTGGGGATCAGAAACCCGAGGGGGGCCCTGCCCCCCCCCCACATACAACAAACACACACACACACACACACACACACACACACACACACACACACACATACACACACACAGACTCACGAAAAACCGCGGGGGCCCAGACTCCCCACCCCACCCCCCCAAGAAACGATTCGGGGTGTCCACAATATCCACCCCACGGCAACGACGACGAAACGACGACCACGCGACTACGACGACGCCGACGACGGCGACAACGTCAGTGGCGGCGGCGGCGCACATGGTGCTGGAGCCCACGCCGGGCGCCAGCTCTGATACAATACTACTGGGGATCGTTCCATTTTTCTCAGCATCCTACGAATGCTCGGTCCAGCTTTGATAAAATCGTGCTCGCAGGGCTGGATCCCGCTCCCAGAAAGCAAAACGAATGGGTTCCGATCGAGCTCAAACAGTACTCTGTAAAACGCTCGGTCCAACTTTCCTGGAATTCTCGAATCGAACCTTATGAAAGCTCGGTCGAACCTTACTCGAATCCGACTCGGGCTGGATCGGATCCAGCTCTACTGGATCCAGCTCCACTGGACTCCTACTGAGGCTCTATCCATCTGTACTGCAATCCTACAAGGGCTCGATCCAGCTCTGATCGAATCTCACCGCGGCCGGATGCAGCCCTAAAGAATCCTACTACGGTTCCATCCAGCTATGTCCTGGCGGGGCTCCATCCAGTTTAGACACCAATTCTAAGGGTCGATCAAAGCCGACCGGAGTCCAACCAGAGCGCGACTCAGTTCTGATGGGATCCGGCCAGGGCTCGATCCAGCTCCAATGGAATGTTACCAAAAGTAGATCCAGCTCGGATAGAACCCTACGATAACAAGAACCAGCTCACAATAATCCCACTATTGCTGGGTCCGGCTCGAGTGCAATCGTATCAGGGCTAAATCCTGGTCCTACAAGATTCAACTTCGGCTCGATCCAGCACGAATGCAAAACAGCTGCCGTACAGCTGCATCAAATTATAATCGACACCTACGAGGGCTAAATCGATTTTCCAACGACTCCTACTAGGGGTGGTTCCAGCCGCAATGGATCCAATAAGGGCCTCACCCAACTTAGATAGAAACCTATTATGGCTCGATCCAGCTCTAATTGCATCCCACTGGGGATCGAACGTCGTCGTCGGCGGCGTTGGCGTCGGCGTCCGCGTCGGCGTCGTCGTCTTCGTCGTCGTCGTCGGCGGCGTCGGCGTCGGCGTCGGCGTCGGCGTCGGCGTCGGCGTCGGCGCCGGCGTCGGCATCGGCGTCGTCCTCGTCCCCGTCCTCGCCCTCGCCCTCGCTTTCGTCCTCGCCCTCGCCCTCGTCCTCGTTGTTGTTGTCGTCGTCGTCGTCGTCGTCGACGCGCCAGCTCGGCCCGAGCCTGCGGGCTCGCTGCGGGCCCGCGCCACGGGCGCCCGCGCGCCGCTCGCGGGCTCTCGGGCTCCTTACACCCTCCCCCTCCCCGCGGGCCATGTCGGTGTGCGTATGGGGATACGACCGAGGAGTCGATCCAATACTAGGGCCCGTAGGCAGCGGCCAAAGAGGAAGAGGATAGCTACTCCTTTTCCTGGGCGCTGCGTACGGGGGCACCGCACTGTGTGCGCTACTGGCAGTACCTGGGCTGACACAGCTGCGGCATGTGATGATATCATGGGAATCTGAGCGGACTTCACACACAGTCGGAGGCGTTTGGCGGGGAGGCGCCGCGGCGCTCCGCGGGCAGAGGGGCGCGCGTCGAGGGCCATCGGGGCCAGGGCCTCACGGGCCTCGCCCTGGCACTTCGCCAGGCGCTGGCGGGAGGGCATGCTGGCGCGGGCGGGGGCCGGTCCTCCCGCCACGAGCCCCGGGCCCGCAACCGAGGGTCCCATGCGAACCACTCAGACGAAAGTGAGCACGGCAGTTCTGATAGAGTTTCCGCAAGACCTGGATTAGACATCCAGGGGAACCCAGCAGTCTCCCAAACAAAGAACATCCAAGACCAGATCAAGCTCGGAAAAGCAGCCTTGATGTCAAACATCGTGAGGGCCGGGTACATGACGCCCGGTATACAACAGATGAGCCCAAACCCTTCTATCTTTCGGCCACCTCAGAAACCCCAGGATGATGGGTGGACTGAATCGCGTGCCGAGCATGCCAGAAACAGGTTCGCTGCGCAGGCGATCGCCTTGCTATCTATGTTGCAAAGGTTGAGGGGGCGAGCTTCGCTAGGATATCTGCGAACCATGCTCAAATCCTCAGCCTCGTCCCCCTTAGGAAGAGCAGCGACCTAGGCATTGAAATCCGGGACGGTGTGTGGAGTCTCGGCCAACATTTCAAACATGTCATACCACAAGGCATGAGCAGTGAAACCAACGTTGGCCCATGCATCCCAAGTAGTGCCGTCGATTCCTGGGGCAGACGGGCTCTTACGAGCCAACACTGTCGCGAACCAATCCGTGTCAAGCACAATGCCGTCAACTTTAGTAGAGCACGGCATTATGAATCTGCGGTGCTGCGCCATATCTGAAGGGTCGGGCTCGACGGGGCTGAACACCTCCTCCCAATAGTCGGTGAGATTCACCAGGGACTCTTCCATCGACTCTTCCATCGCAGCCGGAAGTGTACCATCAAGACTTACCACTGCCTGCAAACAAGACCGGGGACGGTGGGGTCGCCATAGAGACCGTCTGAACTGGATAGCCGCCCAGCGAACCTGCTGGGATGCCCAGTCAGTTGCATCATCAGTCCACAGCTCCATTTCCATATCGTCCAAAGCAGCGTTGGCAAGATCGTGGCAATACTTTTCCAAGGAGGCAGCACCGTCGCAATTTGACTGGGAAGCCAAAGGGCAAGATCAGGATAGGCAAGAGTAGCTCGCCGAACAAATGACATGCTCCCAACCCACAATCCCCGCATACATAGCATGGCAAGGGACAGCTTCGCATGAACATCCATGTGCCCACTTACCGATTGCTGCGCACCGATTTTCGCAGCAGTCGAATGTATCGACTCTTTAACGATGGTCAGCCGGGCCGGGATGTCCAACACGAGTCCACGAGAGAGGATGGCGTAGGCAGCTTCGAACCCAAGCCTGAAACGAGGATGGCTGGAAACTGTCTTATTCATCCGAGGCGAATGGCAACTCTGACGCGGTTCCCCCGGTCTCCAGCTGACGGAAAGAGAAACATAATCAGACGGACAATCGCGAGCAGAAACAGAGGACCACAGAGACACCACAGGCTTGATATTCGCAAGAGCACAAGATTGACAAGTTACGTAACAACGGTCAAGACGACGAGCAAGCGTCGACATAGCCGGAGGGTCGCCTGAGAACTCACGCCTGGTATACATTGGCTGCCAAATCTCAATAAGAGCGGGAAGAAAACGATAGAACTGATTGGATCGAGACGTGTCCCTGGCAGAGTAGGATGATAAGCTCGGCGCGTAGCGAAATTCATCGGGCTCGACAAAATTGAAGTCACCTAAGATCAGGAACATGCCACCAGAGCGACGTGATCGGAGCTCGCCCTGAATTAATTGAAAGCATGATGATGATGACGATGATGATGATGATGACGATGATGATGAAGATGATGCTGATGCTGATGCTGATGATGATGATGATGACGATGATGATGACGATGATGATGATGATGATGATTATGATGATGATGATGATGATGATGATGATGATGATGATGATGATGATGATGATGATGACGATGAGCAGTTAATGAGGATGTCTCGAGCGGCTTGCTGGTCTTAGCACTTCTAAGGGGGGACCGCCAGGGGTATTGCACGGCCTCGATTCGCGCCCAAAGGATGTGGATGTCTCAGGCAGTTTGCCTGTTTTGGTTGCGAACATCCTCCGCTTTCGGAGCAGATTCTGAGGATGTCTCAGGCGAGGCGCTGGTTTTCGCACCCCAGGGGGGCCAGATTTCGAGGATGTCACAAGCGGTGTGCGTGTTTTGGTGGTCAGACTCGTCTGCTGTCAAAGCATATTCTGAGGATGTCTATGGCGAGGCGCTGATGCCCGCACTCCCAGAGGGCCCAGATTGCCAGGATGTCCTAGACTCACTTATGCTCAAACTCACTCGTGCTCAGGCTCACTCATACTCAAACTCGCACTCATCATACTCATACTCAGACTCACTCACACCCGGACGTACGCACACTCAGACTCACTCACACTTAGACCCACCCACCCTCAGACTCATTCGTAGTCAGACTCACTCGTACTCAGACCCACTCAGGGCCAGTTTCATATCCAACATACTCATACTCAGACGCACTCACATTCAGATTTACTCACGCTCAGGATCACTCACACTCGGACCCACTCACCCTCATATTCACTCGTAGTCAAACTCACTCGTACTCAGACCCATTCAGGCTTAGACTCGTACTCACTATACTCAAATTCAGACTCACTGGCTTTCGCACCCCAGGGGGGGGCAGATTGCGAGGATGTCCCAGACTCACTTGTGCTCAGACTCGTATTCATCATACTCATACTCAGACTCACTCACACTCAGTCCATGCAAATAGATGCACATATGGGGAGCTCCACGCAGTGAATATTTTTTTGGGGGGGACCTCCCCCCTGCCGGCAGCGGCAGAACACGTTCCTAACCTAGCCTAGCGCATAAACAGGTTGGGTGGCTTAGGGGGTAAGGATCCTGGCTAAGTTGGCTCCGCCCTCAGCGGAATTAGCGAACCCACCCGAGCCTCTTAGGGCACTGATAACACATTCATACGCTAGGCTAGGCCAGATGTAAGCCACCTTAGCGCCCACACATAGCCCCCATGTCCACTCAGCAACCCCCGCGGTGATCCAAGCACCCCCAGGAGGCGACAATGCCCACACCGCGCGCCGCGGGGGGAGGAACAGCCGGCGGCGACTGAGCACGCGCCGCGGGTGCGAGGGCCTCGACCCACCCCCTCGAACCGCCTCCTCCTACTCACCTCCGCCTCGTCCCTCGTGCTCGTCCGCCTTCCTCCTCGTCCTCCAGGTCCCCCTCGCAGAAGAAGAACAACAACATACACATAAACTGTCGGGGCTCCGCGCGGATTCCTTGGATCGGCGTTGGTCCTCCGTGGTGGCGCCTCTGGCGCCGCCCCAGGCGTGTTCCGCGCGCCAGAGGATCCCAGAAATCCGCGCGGAGCTCCAAACGTTTATGATTATCCAGTTGCGTCCGTCTTCGATCCTCCTTCCCCCTTTTTCCTCCCCCTGTTCCCCCCCGACTGCTACCCTCCGTGCTCCTTCCACCGCGGCCCCCGCACTCGCCGCGAGCCTCCCGCCACCAGAGGGCGCGGAGTGGCGGGCGCGCCTCGGTGGTCAGGTAGACAGTCCTGATGCCGGGGATGGAGGGGGAGTAGAGCGTCTCCTCCTTTGCGGGAACAACGAACGACCGTAACCATATCTGGTACGATCGGAATGGGTACGGGAAACCTGGCACCGAAGACGGACAGAAGTTCCTGCCGATGTTGAACAGGACTCGCTGTCGGCGTCGCCGCGAACGTTGCCACTTTGAGACGGAAGACCACCTGCCCAACAGCAGCCGCTGTCGGCCTTGGACCACATTCACCGTTGGGCATCGTGCCCATTTTCTCCGCACCCATTTCAAGCGAACAACCACCTAGAGGACAGATACACCCTGGGGCGGCATCTTGCGACTGCGAACCAATCGTCAGAGCACCGTAACCACTGCAGGGGTTCTTCCCCAAGGGGAGGAGGAGGAGGAGGAGGAGGAGGAGGAGGAGGAAGAGGCGGTGGGTTCTTCCCCGAAGGGATCTCCAGGAAAATCGGTTCGCCAGTGGCCTGGTTCTTCGTCGGGCCTGGATCCTTCGGCCAGGTTCCTTCCAAGAGAAAGTGCGCGTCGAAGCGCTCGCTCGGCACGCCGAACCTGCTGACGAACATCTCCACCACGGCCTCCTTCCACGTCTGCCCCTGCAGGGTACGACCGATCGAGCGCGCAGAGCGTTGCGAAAGCGAAGGCTTCTGCTGGCAACAAGAAGAAAGGCGAGCGGACTGGATGAGACTACAGAGATGGATGTAGTCACGCACCGAACTCAGCGCAACATCATCGCCCTCGCCTCTACCGCGCATCTGGCCGAAAAGCCAACAGGCAAAATCTACACACAAGAATTCAGGCACTTGAGTCTCTCCGCCGATCAACCTACCCAGAACAATGAGGCCACACAGGGTACCACTCCGATAATTCATTTGGCCTTCCCTTTCTGAGGCACCAGTGTGGAATTCCTCAGCCCTCAGCCCCAAGGCCCTACCCCTAAACCCTAGCCTCGGACCTGGACCTCAGCCCTAACCCCGGCACTCAACCCTCAGCCATGTCCTCAACCATGGCCCTGGCCTCGGCCAGCTGCCCAGCTCAGCATGGCCCAGCCCTGCGATGCACAGCCATTCCGTGCGGGACGAAGGGAGGAACGCGGGACGGACAGCAGGAGGACAGCGAGGAAACAAGAACGACGAGAAGGAGAGATGGACGACGAGGACGACGAGGAGGACGACGCAGCGAGGAAAAGAGGACGGCGTGAAAACGACGAGGGGGACGACGAGCACGAGGCAGGCCCAGAGGGGGGCACAGGACGGCCTCTCTCGACGCCTCGGGGCTCCGTTGGAAACCCTCCGCCCCTAGATGGTGTGACCCTCCACCCCAAAATTGTGACGTTTCGCCATTACTTCCGTCTTGTCTTGCGCAATTGTCTGGAACTTGCCGGCTCCCGCGGTCGCCCGGCTGACTAACTTCCGCCCCGAGAACGGTGCATTGCGCGACTGGTGGCGGCTGCTGAAGGCATCCTGGCATCCTGCGACAGACCTTTTCCGGCGCATTTCCCGTCTGGTGCAAGGTCGGGGCGGCTCGGGGCTCGGGCGGGGGGGGGGGAATATGGAAAAGGGGAAGAGGGACAGGAACGGTAAACCCAACATTGGTGATGTCTCGCTCTCACATTCGCGCCGGACGCCGACCTTCCAGCTGTTTCCGCCAGCTGGCCCGCCGCCGTCTTTCTTAATTGGGCCAGCGTCGGCCAAGGCCTTCCGCAACCCCCCCCCGCCGAGGAAGCGACATGCGTCGAAGGCGGAGGCCCACTTCCGCTTTGACATCGCTGGGGCTGACTACCTCGATGGGGCTGCGTGCATCGAACGCTGCGGTCGGGAACTTTTGTTTACCGTGTCGCGGCGGCGGCCCCGGCGACTGCGAGCTGATAGCGCGTCGCTCCGCTCCGCGGGGCGGAGGGCTGGGAAAGGGCCAGAACGTCGACACCTGTGGACCGGGACGTTGATAGCGTGTCGCGCCAAGTCGTGCGTCGGGCCAGAACCGGCGGCGCGGCACGCTAAGCCAAAATCCACAGGCATGCGGAACATGCTGATTTTGCGGTCGGCCCCGCGCGAGTTTCTGGAGCGCGGGTCGCCGGCATCATTGCGGAAGGCGCTCGGGGAGTTCGACAAGACAGCGGGGAGCTTCGTGGCTGAGGCGGAGCAGCTCGTGGCAGAGCCCTGCTTCGCGCTGCCTCCCGCCTGAGCGCGGCGGCGCCTTGCTCGAGGCCCGCGGGGCTGTCCCAGCGGCTCGCTCCCGCGCCCCAGCGGCTCGCGGGGTTGTCCCAACGGCCTGGCCCGCGGGGTTGTCCAAACGCCTTCGCGACCCGGCCATCGGAGCACGCGCCCCTGCTGGCCATGGCGGCGACAGCGCCACGGGAAATCAGCTTGCGCGCCCTGGCTAAAGCGGGGGAGGAGGTGAGTGGAGGAGAAGAGGCAGGAGGACGAGAAGGAGGCAGAGAAGGGGGCGGAACAAGGGCCTCCACCAGGGAGAAAAAGAGAAGAACGATGAGGAGACAGGAAGAGAGCCTCTGCACTCACAATGACGACGATGAGCTTCACTCCCAAGTTAGTTCGGGAGATTATCATGCGGGGCCCGACGGTCAGAGTATTCTTCTCTGGGCGCCCCCGCGCAAGCCTTACCCTCTCTTCCTGTCATCCTTCACATCCGTAATCGTCATCACACCATCATCATCAGCAGCATCACACTCAGCATCACCATCATCACACCAATATCATAACTATCACCATCACCATCAACATCCCATCGTGATCACCGACCATCATCATCACCACCAGCATCATCGATAATGGTCTCGAGCGGGAATCTTGTTTGTGAGTGAACATGGAGGAAATCCCAAGCGAGAAACGCGTCTGTGAGCGAATCGCGAAAAAGTTTCGAGCGGGAGCCCTTCCCTATGGGGTTCCCACCTCATGTTGGCAATTTCGAGGCGGTCATCGGAAAACCCTGTAAACAAAAGCACAGGTTTGGTGACACCGGTGTGCCTGAATGCAGGAAGTCTGGAGCGGTAGCATCGTTCCTGAGCAAACTGAAAAGATGTTTCAGCCGCTCACTCGTTTCTGAATGGATCTCAAAAAAGTCTCGAGCGGGAGCCTCCCCCTCCTACGGGGGCGCCACCTCATGTTGGCAACCCGAAGCGGCCATCGGAAGACCATGTGAAAACACAAGTTTGGTGGCTCCTGAGGGCCTGCATCCCGAGGATGTATCGAGCGGGAGCCCCGTTCCTGAGCAAACTGAAGGGATGTCTCAGGCGAAGCCTCGTCTGTGGGTGAATCGCGAGAACATCTCGAGCAGGAACCTGTCCCCATGGGGTCCCCACCTCCATGTTCGAATCCGAGGCTGCCCTCCGAATGCCCAAGAACAAAAATGTTTGGTGGCACCTGGGAGTTTGAATCCCGAGGAACTCTCGAGCGAAAGCGTGGCTTCTTTGTCGAGCGTCTCTTTGCAATCCGAGGCCACCATCCTCAATCAAGCTTGCAAGCGTCGGCAAGGACTATAGGCACGAAGAGAGCCTCCGTAGTCACAAGGACGACGATGAGGATCACTTCCAAAGTAGTTTGGAAGACTCTCACGAGGGGTCCTACCGTCGGGGTAACTCGCACCGCGAGAGAGTCTGGGTCCTCCTGATGCCTCCTCCTCCTCCTGCTCCTGCTGCTGCTCCTGCACCTCCTGCTCCTCCTGCTCCTCCTCCTCCTCCTCCACCTCCTCCTCCTTATCCTCCAGTCCGCCACGCCAAGACAAGAAGGCAGGGCCCGCAAAGAGAGGAAGGCCCAGAGCGCCTGAACGATGGTGACCGCGAGCTTCTGGTTCCGCGTCCTTGCGCGGCCGTCGCTCATGATCTCCATGCCGACCTTCAGCGTGCGGTCGACGCCGTCGGACCCCTGGGGGACAGGAGGTCTCCCATACCTCCGACGTTGTGCTCATGCTCTTTCAGTCCAAGGCTGTTCTTCGTTCTTCGGCGTCCAAGGGCTCTTTTCGGGACCCCGGGAATGACTATCACACATCCACCAGGACGAAACAACCTTGCACAGGAAGGGCGTCTACACCTCTGTGGCCTCGGAATTCACAAAATCACACCGTCGGATACGGCTGGACCTAGGACATGATGACATCCTTCAAGAACATGAGACCCTCCAGCGGCCAAACCATCAGACCACTCGAACGATCCCGGCAACCCGAAATGCCCTGGACGAGGCGCAGCTGATGTAAACCACCCCGAGGCTGGAAAGTAGCCGAGAAGCGATGCAATTGCTTGAAAGCCTCAAAAACTGTGGCCCCTCAGAGATACAATCACGATCCCTGAACCTCTCCTGGCAGTGCGCTCTGCCCAGAATTTCGAGGCGAATTCCGCGGTAGCCACGAGGGCGCCCCAGGAGGATCAACAAGAGCCGCGAGGTCGAAAGCTGCCAAAAATGTCTGAAAGGTCCCGAAATCCCCGGCAATGTTGCCGACTGGAGGGGGCAGAAGCCTCGTGGGTGGGCGCCGCTGAAAGTAACAATTCCGGAAGGGAGAAGCTGCTGGAGGTGCATCTGCTTGAAGGAACTTCGGATAAGGCTCAGAGGCTTGAGGGCGCAAAACTTCGAGGGCAAAATCTGCCGCTGCCAACGAAGGCAGCTGTGCAAACAGCTTGCTGCCTTCACGAGGCTACGACGGGCGCTGCCGTGCCCCGCCGCGGGCGCCAAGGCCCCCCCCCCTGCCCCCAAAGCCGTGTCGCTTGCTCCGAGGCGCCACGGCCCCGTGCCACGACGCTGCGCGTCGGGGGGTCAATGCACCACTGTCGGGGCACTGGGTAAGGAACCAGCGGGAAAAGGAACCCAGGGTCTGGAAGCCAGCGGAACTCCGATCGTGGTCACCACCGCCCTCATGAGGTAGGGGAGACCTACAGGGTCTGAAACCTCCTGGGCACATTCCTTAGCGAACGCCCCCACTGAAGGACGCGACTCCTGGGACGCGAGGCGGGGATTTATCTATAGTCACCGCCTGAGGGGTCGACATTCGGGGGCACCGGCAGGCGGCGGATGTGAACACATTCGGGCATATATGTATATCCATATATTCATATGTGTGTATATGCGTACAGACGTATATGGATATACATACTTAGGTCCCCGAAGGTCGACCCACCAGACGGTGGCTATGGGCAAACCCCCGACTGTGAGTAAGAAAGATTAGGCGATGGATTGGCTCAGATTGCGCCCTTGAGTGAGCCCCGATTGCACGATCAAGCGGGACCCAGCGCCGATGCGGACCCGGGCCTCCCAGGGGTTGCATACTGAACTGCAGTCGGACCCGGCGGTGCGGGCAAGCACGTGCGCTCAAGAGGATACCAGCCCGTGAAGTGGCGGCCCGCTTCCTTCTCACAAGACGAGGGAAGAGGGAGGGCCCCCCCCTCCCTCAGCGGACGGAGACTGTACTAAACAAACTGCTCCGCCATCAGGGATGCCTGTCCCAGGGCGGCTGGAAGCTTCCACCCACACGTGCCGCCGTAGGGTTATAAACTTTCAGGCCGCCATGGGACAGGCCCCCCCGATGGCGGAGAAGGTTATCTCCGTACCTCACTTCGCCAGCTAACTCCTGGCCCTCTCCTGCTGATTGCCTGCCCCTCGTCGCCTCTTCTGGCTGTTGCTATACTGCTGCTGCTCACCCCCCTCCTGTCATCCTCCATCTGGTACTCCTGCTCTGAGGGTCGCCGCAAAACGGGGACTGGCCCAGGGCGGGAAATGCAGGCAGAAAGACAGAGAAGCCAGGCGCACGGACGGCGCATCGGCAACAGAGCTCGGCTGAATCAACACAACGTGATCAAGGAGACCCCATCGAGCACCACTCGAAACGTGCATAGTGCCATCGACGGCGAGCGATAACCATCATTCACTGAACAACATTGGAAGTGCAGGAAATGATGGCCTGGAATCGACGCTACCTCGCCGATACATCGGCGATGTCCCCCCCCCACAGCGGAACTGTACGTTCCCAGGCGAGTTGGGGGGCCCAGGCCCCGATCGGCGAAAAAGATTGCACGCTTGGGGGTCAATGCCCCCCCCCCGGGCCAGTACCCCCCTGCCGTTGCCACTGATACTCCATCCTCATCGGCCCCACCCCCCCCTCGGCTCATGTCTGCCCGACCCCGGACCTCCCCTGGCTGAGGGGCAGCGAAAGGGGGGAGGCCAGCTCAGGGGGGAAAACACCGACCTGGAATCGGCGTGCATGGCAGGCAGATCGACGATACGCCCTGGTAGCGACACCGCAGGTTCCTGGGCGGGGCGGACTGTCGGGCCACCTATCGGCGATGAATGGACCCATGGGCCTATCGCCCCCCGACGTTGCTCCTGACTGGCCCAGGCACACCCCTGGCCCCCAGGACGACGGGCACGCATCGGGGCACTCTTGAGCTCTCGGGGCGCTCGCGGGAGGGAGACGTCCGAGATGCACCCTTTGCACCTCGGACGCCGTGCATCTCCTTGCACCTCCTCGTGTGCGTGTGTGTGGATCCTGCTTCCGCCCATGTCCCTCCGCCGTCCGCCGGCGAGGCCGCCCTCGCCGTGTTTCAGTCTGCCCTCCTCGGGCACGCTCCATCGTGGAGTGCACGCGGATCCGTGGGCTTGGCGCGTGGGCGCGGGGGCCGCAGGAGGGGATGGGTAGGGCGCGCGCCGATGTTTGCATGGAGACAGGACCAGTCGCTGACCCACCGCGCTTGAGTCCATGCCTGCGCTGCCTCGACCTCCGCCGAAGAGGCGGAGCGTCCTCAAGGAAGTCGTCCTTACCTCGCCACCCTACGACGATGTCTGACAGCAACGAATGCCTCTAGGAAAGAGGCCAATTGCCTGCCGAGCGGCCAGGCCGATCTCGAGGCGAGCCAAGCCGTTGAAACCAGGGCCCCGTCCCCATGGAGGTGCCCAAAGGGCAAACAACGCTGGAAACCGCAAAACTTGAAATAGAGCCACGTACCGCAACCTGCAAACATACTTGTGCGCGCGCGAAACAGAATAGGAGGGTGGAGATGGGGAGAACGACAGGACTTTCAGAACAAAAGGAGGAGAAGTAGGGGAGAGGGGGGAAGCGTCATGCCAGATCCCATGTCCTCCCTTCCTCTATGGCGAAGGAGCTCCCGAAGGCGAGCAAATTTGACCCCCCCGACAAGCGCGTCATCATCCTTTTGTCGCTGCCACTGAGGAGCCCGATGTCCCGAGGTCTGCGGAGCCCTCTGAAAGCCACGCAGCTAATTAAAAGCAGTCCCAAAACAATCGAGGAGGTGGAGAAGGAGTAGGACACTGAGGCAAAGGGACCGGCAACATTTCCCAACGGGGGGCTCCCTCTGAACCCTTAGTGGTTGAAAGCACAGGTGTTGAAGGGTTTGTCATCGAAGAGAGGACACGGAAGCGCAACGGACAAACTTTGGACGGCATCTATGACATTATCTGGAACAGTATTGGCCACTGTTTTTCTGCGGATGAATTGCGGCGCGAATTGGCTTCCAGCGGCACGGTTCGCACTTTGCCAGAAGCGGAATTCGCCCTTTCGGATAGGAAGAAATTGGAGCTATTGCCAGCATGGGAGACAACTACACAACTGCTGCCCCGTGAAGGTTCTGCTCTTTCAGAACGGGACAGCACAGAGGATCAGCTGAGCGCGTTTGGCCTCTAGTCTCCCAGTCTCTCGTCCTCGGCCCATCTTCTGCATGTGCCGCATGTATCCCTAGATTTTCTGGTGTATGAGTGCGGCCTTGCAGGGGACGGAAAGAGCACAGGTTGAGCATTTCTGAGCGCGCTTGGCGCGCGAAATCTGAGCGCGCTTGGCGCGGGAAGCACCTGTCTCGGAGTAGTGAGAGCAGAGAGCACCAGCGAGGACATCTCGGAGCGCTGGAGCTTCTGTGCAGCTGGGGGGAGGGGGGAGAGCTTAGCTCTGGCTCACACATGAAAGAGGGGCTCAGGGAACCCCCTACATGGGAACCCTGTTCGCCAGCGCGTCCCCCAGAGAGGGCGCGCGAACAGACCAGCAGCTGTTCCCCTCGCACTGACCCGCAGGGGCTCGTCTTGATCAGCTAGCCTCTCTCTCTTCACGGGGCCATCTCGGAGCTCACCCCCTTGAGCTTCGGGGTATGCCCCGTGCCAGCCCCATGAGAAGTCTGGGTATGCGGCATCTCATAATCGCAGGGGGATTTGCAAGTCGTACCCCACAGCTCCGTTTTGCGGGCGTTTCGTCGTCGACCCCTTTTATGCGGATGTCCTGTCATGTCCTGTTCTCCTCCTCCTCCTCCTCCGCCTCCTCCCCTTTCTCCTCCTCCTCCTTCCCCTCCTGCTCCTCCTTATCCTCCTACTCCTCCTCCTCCTCCTCCTCCTCCTCCTTCTCCTCCTCCTCCTCCTCTTCTTCCTCCCCCCTCCTGAGGAGCAAAAAACGGCCTACACATATGTTCTCAGAGGTCTGCGCGGATTTCTTGCATCGGCGCTGGACCCCCCTCCCTGGCGCGCGGAGAGCGCCAGGGGCGGCGCCAGGAGCTCCAGCGCCGATCCGAGAAATCTGCGGGACTCAAATGAACGGAACGAACGGAACGGAACGCCTGTGCGGGCATGCGCCCGGGCCCCTTAAGGGCGAGGCGGGTGAGGCCATGGCCTCGCATGAGAAGCTGCACGCGTCGGGGGTCTACTCAGGACAATGCGTACTTCAGGAGCTGATTTCCCGACAGTCCCCACTCATCCGTTTTCTCATGATGTAGCCACGTCGTCTCGTGCATTATGTTAATGCTGTTTTTCTGCTATTCGGACCTCCCTCCTCCTCCCCCTCCTCCTCCTCCTCCTCCACCTTCTCCTCCTCCTCATCCTCTTCCTCCTCCTTCTCCTCCTCTTCGAGGGCGTCCTTCGCGCAGAGGCTGATACGGACGAGCTCCACGCGCCGCTCGAGCTTGGCGCCGTGCAGCGTCAGGTAGCACTTGTGGCTGGTGACGTCCTCGTCTCGCGCACGAAGAGGAGGGGAGAAGGCGGGAAGGAATAGAATTGGGAGGGCCTCTTCGGCCGTCTTGGGGCAATCTCGGGGGCCTTCAAAAATGCTTGGACGCTGCGAGGCGAACCAAAAACGGAAGTGCTAGAAATGCACGCTTCCCCACAAGACGTGGACGATGCTTGTTTCTTCGGGCTTTCTTGCAGGCACTCTTGGAGCACTCCTGGGGTTATGTTGGTCCCATCGTACTTAAATTCTTTGTGGTGATCAAGGCTAAAGTAGGTTGGAACATCATAATCCTGGGGCGTCTTGGAGGCCTTTGAGGCCGCCTGGAGGCTGTCTTGGGGGTCTTGGAGCGCGCTCGGACCGTCCCGGGGTTCTCATGGACCACCTCGGGGCCTCTTGGCCGTCACAGGCGCCGCAGCACGGGTGTCTGGGGCCTCTCGGGGGGCCCCTGGAGCCTCTCTGGGGCCTACCGGCCTGACTTTGGCTGCTTGAGACCGGAGCCTTCTGGCAAGCGCATTCCTCCGCCACAGAATGTCGATGGCGTTGGGCTCCATCTTCGCAGGCCGGATCTCACAGAGCAGCGACACTGCAAGGTGCCATCGCCCGCCTTTCCTGCACGCGCTGGCAGTTGCAATGTAGAGGCCTGGGGATGGGCGAACACCTACTACAATCTCTGCGCGAAGCAACTGCAGTGCTGCGCTCCGGTGTTTTGTCCGGACACATTTCTTAATTGGCGCGCCGAAGGAGACAGCGCCTTCTCGAAAGCCCCGCTGAATGTCTGATACCCGCACATGCATCATAGATGTCTGGATGCCAGGCTTACATTGTACATGTGGGGCCAGAGAAGTAGCACCACAAGTGCCAAAATGGCATCAAAACGACTTGAGCCCAATAAGGCTGGTGCCGAAGCGGCTTGAGCCAACATGGCTACAGGGGAGGTGGAACAGAGGGATGAACAGAAGACTGTGGAGGGAGCGTGAAACAAGCGGACGAGCAGAAGGGGTGGAGGGAGCAGAAAAGGCGGAGGAGGAGGAGGATTGCGATGAGCGAAGGTGGGAAAACAAGCATGCCGTATACTGCTCGATGCCTCCTCGCCAGCGAGAGGGATCTCTCGAGACCCCAAGGAGATCCCGGGTGCTCTCTCTCGGAAGCCTCTGAAGGCAAGGGTCGGCCCAAACAACAGCAAACCCACAATAGAACATACAGTGCGACCGCGGCCGCAAGAAACCCTCACAAGAAACCCAACACTGAGAACCCGCGCGCGGTATGCAATCTGGGGGGAAGCCCAGAGCACCCTGGACGCATCAGCTTCTTCAACGGCCGCGGGATGTCACCGCGCAGCGCGGGTAACGAAGAAACCCAAGATACCCGGACGAAAAACATACATTTCTTGATGCGAGTCCCCACTGCATCGCCTAACAAAAGCGATGAACATAAACTTCCGGAGGACCGGGCTGATTTCTTGGATCGGCGCTGGACTGTTGCGCAAAACGCGCCAGGGGCGGCTGTGCACTTGTCTTCTTCGAAGCACGGGCTTCTTCCGCCTCGCCCCACCTCAGATCCCAACGCGCTGGGAGGTGCACGTCTCGGCAGGAACGGGCCGCCCGCTCGCTGGGAGGCGTCTCGACAGGAGCTGCCCTGTCCCAGCTCTCCGGCTAGACTACCTGAGCATCGTCGACAGACTCCTGTCCCCACTGGACTGGCGTTACGTCGGGCCTGTCCCCCTACAGGGGGATTTCGGGCGACAAACTGATACTAGTCAAAAATTACTCACTGCGTGGAGCTCCCCATATGTGCATCTCATGTTTGATGTCATGGCATAATGAGCGTCTGTTCATGAGCGTCCTACCCCCTGGCGGCTCCCCTTAGGGGTGCTGGAACCAGCCCCCCGCCTGAGACATTCTCACAATCTGCCCTGAAAGCAAAGGATGTTGGGAATGAGAACGAGCAAACCGCCTGAGACATCCCCACAAACTGGCCGCGAACGGGCCCGTGAGAACTCCCCTGGCGGCTCCCCTTCGGGGTGCTGAAACCAGCGCCCCGCCTGAGACATCCTCACAATCTGCTCTGAAAGAAAAATATGTTGGGCATGACAACGAGCAAAGCGCGTGAGACATCCCCACTAACTGGCCGCGAACGGGCCCGTGAGAACACCCCTGGCGGCTCCCCTTCGGGGTGCTGAAACCAACGCCACGCCTGAGACATCCTCACAATCTGCTTTGAAAGCAAAGGATGTTGGGCATGAAAACGAACAAATCGCTTGAGACATCCCCACAAACTGGCCGCGAACGGGCCCGTGAGAACACCCCTGGCGGCTCCCCTTCGGGGTGCTGAAACCAGCGCCCCGCCTGAGACATCCTCACAATCTGTTTTGAAAGCAAAGGATGTTGGGCATGAAAACGAACAAATCGCTTGAGACATCCCCACAAACTGGCCGCGAACGGGCCCGTGAGAACTCCCCTGGCGGCTCCCCTTCGGGGTGCTGAAACCAGCGCCCCGCCTGAGACATCCTCACAATCTGCTCTGAAAGAAAAATATGTTGGGCATGACAACGAGCAAAGCGCGTGAGACATCCCCACTAACTGGCCGCGAACGGGCCCGTGAGAACACCCCTGGCGGCTCCCCTTAGGGGTGCCGAAACCAACGCCACGCCTGAGACATCCTCAGATCTGCTCTGAAGGCAAAGGATGTTTGGCATGAGGACGAACAAATCGCTTGAGACATCCCCAGAAACTGGCCGCGAACGGGCCCGTGACAACACCCCTGGCGGCTCCCCTTCGGGGTGCTGAAACCAGCGCCCCGCCTGAGGCATCCTCACAATCTTCTCTGCAAGCAAAAGATGTTGGGCATGAAAACGAGCAAACCGCCTGAGACATCCCCACAAACTGGCCGCGAACGGGCCCGTGAAAACTCCCTTGGCGGCTCCCCTTCGGGGTGCTGAAACCAGCGCCCCGCCTGAGACATCCTCACAATCTGCTCTGGAAGCAAAGGATGTTGGGCATGACAACGAACAAAGCGCGTGAGACCTCCCCACAAACTGGCCGCGAACGGGCCCGTGAGAACTCCCCTGGCGGCTCCCCTGAGGGGTGCTGAAGCCAGCGCCCCGCCTGAGACATCCTCACAATCTTCTCCGAAAGAAAAATATGTTGGGCATGAGAACGAGCAAACCGCCTGAGACATGCCCACAAGCTGGCCGCGAACGGGCCCGTGAGAACACCCCTGGCGGCTCCCCTTAGGGGTGCTGAAGCCAGCGCCCCGCCTGAGACATCCTCACAATCTGCCGTGCGCTGAGCAACTCAGACTATGAGAAGGTCTGAATGTGTGTAGGTTTGAGTATGGCTAAGTATGTATATGAGTACGTCTGGGTATGCGTAAGTATGAGTGTGAGTAAGTCTGTGTATGAGCAAGTCTGTGTATGTGTACGCCTGGTTATGAGTAAGTCTGAGTATGCGTAGGTCTGAGTATGGTTACGTCTGAGTATGAGTAAGTCTGTGTATGAGTAAGTCTGGGTATGAGTAAGACTGAATATGAGTAAGTATGTGTATGAGTACGTCTGGGTATGAGTACCTTTGAGTATGAGTAAGTCTGCGCATGAGTAAGTCTGTGGTCTGGGTGTGTTCTTGTTATCTGGAGTCCGCGGCGTCCAAGAAATAACAATAACCCATCTTAGGATATGGGGAACATTTCTCCGAATGCTTAAAAGTGGCCAACAAAGAATCCCCAAACTATTTTCTGACTATTTTCGAATATCCCTCCTCTAGAGGGACAGGCCCGACTTAAGACTGGCGTGGCCTCGACTTCCCTGGCAGACTTGCCCGCCCAGGCGAGGACACAAGTCAACCCGTATCATGAGGATGCGCGGTAGGGATGCAGGGGCCTTGCGGGGCCATGTTGACGTTGTCGAGCGGGGCGCGGCCAGCGAAATTCGCCAAGGGTGGGCCGAAGGGGCAAGTATGGAAGGGTACCCCCTGGGAAGGTTGCCCCTCAATTCTTATGCGGGTTGACTGTACATGCCTCCTTCGGGGCGCGTGGGGCCTGTCCCCACCTGGGAGGGTGGGCGGGTGGGGCCGAGGTGCCCTGGCCGTGTGGGGATGGGGACAGGTTGGGCGACGCTGACTCTCGAAGGCACGGGGCAGGCGAGCCCAGAATCGTATCGGTGAGTCGAATCGGCGATCGAAATGACTCGGGTCGGTGGCGATCAGCAGCCGAGTTGGGAGGAGCCGAACCGGCGGACATCGGCAGGCTAGCAGACCTCCTGTGAGAAGTTGGACTCGACATTGGAATCCGAGGTCGAATCGAATCGGACTCAGACATCGAAATCAAATCACATCGCAGGAATCGAACTCAGCCCCGAAAGGGGGCCGAGGAGATGCCGAGGAGAAGGGGCGGTGCTCGGCGGAGAGGCGGAGAAGAAGCTACGGGTGCCCCTCCCAGAGCAGCCCAGGACGAAGGATCATGCTCTTGCAGCCCCGACTGGGGGCGCCCTCCGAGCTGGGAAGGCCCACGAGCATCGCAGAGATACCGTAGCCCAGCGCAGTTGTGGGCAAGCGTGAGGGGGGCGGCAGCGCAGGCGGGGAATTCACATGAAAGCAACACGAGCTGGTCGCGGGGAGGGTCGCGGATGGGTCGCAAGTGGGTCGCAAGTGGGTCGCAAGTGGGTCGCAAGTGGGTCGCGGGCGGGTCGCGGGCGAAGACGACGACACCACCACCTCCACCACCACCACCACCACCACCGCCACCACCACCACCACCACCACCACCACCACCACAACCACCACCACCACCACCACCACCACCACCACTAGCACCACAGGCTTGCTCGCCGTCAGCGCCTCTGCCTCTTCCCGAACCCTCTCGTCTTCGCGGGGACGGCGCGGAGGCTGTCCTGGAAAAGGCCCTCCACCTTCTTCGCCTGGGCAGGATGGCAGCGGGATGGAGGATGGGAGATGGAGTCAGCGGGATGGAGGACGGACAGGGAGGCTGGGGAAAGTAGGCACGACGACATCTGAGACATTCCACTCCCCTTCCTCCTCCGAGCGATGCTCTGCCCAAGGGCTCGGGCCGCATACGGAGGAGCGGCGCCTGCAGCGGAGGGAGGCAGCACGATCAAGCAGGATGAGGAGGAACCGACGCGCACGCACATGATGTACCAAGCTTCCCCGTGTCTCTCCCTCCCTCCGCCTGTCTGACGCCATCCTTCGCTCCTCGTGCTGCTTTGACGTGACAATCCCCAAGTGCACAGGCATATAAAGTCGAGACGAGTTTCGCTGGACCAGTGGGTCTCGTCAAGTATGTCGGGCCGCAGGTGGCAGCAGTACGGGAACAATATCAAGTGAAGATGCAGTGGCAATAACATCTGGCTCCACGTTGCACCCTGCCCACCCAACACTAAGTCAAAGGGAAAAGCTCGAAAAAGCCCTCATCAGAGTGAGGGAGCCGAACAATCTTACACAATCCTTGCGTTTGGCTGAAGTGGGGTTCCGCGGAACGGATTGTCATAGTTTTTGTTCTTGTCGTCGTCGCTCCGCGACCCACCCGCGCCTCGAACCACCCGCGACCCACCAACGCCGCGACCCACCCGCGCCGCGACCCTCCCGCACCGCGATCCACCCTCGCCTCCTCACTCGTCTCCGCAACAGCGGGGGTACTAGATATTCTTCCCACTCCTCCTCCTCCTCCTCCTCGTCATCAGCAGCATCATCATCACCTTCGGCATCATCATCACCATCGACATAATCCTCCTCCTCCTCCTCCTCCGCCTCCTCCTCCTCCTCCTCCTCCTCCTCCTCATCATCATCATCATCATCATCAACAGCACCATCATCATCAGCATCATCATCACCATTATCATCATCATCATCATCATCATCATCATCATCAGCATCATCATCAATATCAGCACCATCATCGTTTTGGATATCGACATCACGAGCATCATAATCATCATCAGCAGCCCCGTCATCATCATCGTCATCATTATCATATGAATCATCATAACCATCATCGCCATCATCATCAGATTCATCATACCCTTCATCATCACAGTCATCACAGTCGTCAGGAGCACGATCATCATCATAATTATCAGCATCGACATCATCATCACCATCACAACATTGTCAGTATCATATGCAGCATTGTCATCGTCAGCATCATCGCCAGCATCATGAGCATCACCATCATCAGTATCGTCATCATCCCCATCGCCATCATGATCATCAGCATCCGCACCTTTATCATCATCAGCAGCATCGCCTTCACAATGATAATCATCACCATCAGCATCATCATCACCATCATCATCAACATCAACATCACCATCATGAAAAATCATAACCGTCACCATGGCTTCATCATCATTGCCACTATCATCCTCATCAGCATCATCATCATCGTCAGCGTCATCAGCATCGTCATCATCATCGTCATCATCATCAGCTGCAGCACCACCATCAGCATCATCATCATCAGTAGCATCATCATCACCCTCCTCCTCCTCCTCCCTATCCTCCTCCTCCTCGTCATCATCATCACCATATTCATCGTCATCGTCATCGGCATCGTCATCGCACACGTCAACATCATCATCATCAACATCATCATACTCATCGTCATCATCACCACAATTTACAACATCATCAGTCATCACCACCCATCATCATCATCATCATCATCATCATCATCATCATCACCATCACCATCAACATCATCATCCGCATCCGCATCATCATCAACGTCATCAGCATCATCAGCAGCAACATCAGCACCATCATCATCAGCCGCATCATCATCATTATCATCATCACCATCATCATCATTCACCTCCTCCCGCAACCAACGCTGTGGGGTGGTGAAGTCGCCTGTCCTCTCCCGAACTTGCTGACGTCCACTCCCATGGACTCCAGGAACCTTACGGGAGGGAGGAGAGGGAGGAATGGAGGAGGGAGGAGGAAGGAGCCCGGTAACGACTGGATAACGTCATCGGGGTGGTAAACGAGGAAGAAGGAAAAGGATTGAAAGGGAGGAAAAGCGAGGCGGCGGCGGCGGCGATCGCATCAGGAGCAACGGGTCCTCGTCTTCTGGCAGGCAGCTCGAACACGGCCAACTAGCACCAACAAGAAAACATATCCCAAGCTCCTCGGGTGCGCATAAAGCGGTGCTTAGCACTGAGGGGGGGGGGCTCAATGTCTCACGGACCTTTCGGGATATATCCAACGCCGCAGACACCCCGACAAAACTTCGTTGCTACTAAAGAACGAATCAAAACTGGAAAAAGAGGGCCGGAAAAAGGATGGTGGCCTCGCTGGCCCCGCCGACCGGTCACCGCTGGTTCATTGTCCAGAGGTGCTGTCAGGTCTCCGAGGGGCCCTACCCACAAGTCTAAGGACACAGGCCTCCAAAGAGCTCGAGCGGGGGTCCGTGGTGGGCCTAGAAAGGCGAGGGGGAGGAGGAGGAGAGGGATTCGAAAAACTATGCTCAAGCATCCCAAGACTCTGCCTACGAAAATCAGTTTGGCGCTCACTCGGCTGGGGCTCCGGCGGGGCAGTAGATACAGGCAAAGCCTCATCAGTCGTGGACCGTCTGGAAGAGGTCCGCCCTTTCGACCACTCGGATGTGTCCAACTCTGCACTTGACGGGGACCCGATAGGGGCTCTATCCTTCTCATCTGTCCAGAAGAAACATTCGCCATGCCATGCAAATTCAATAGTCTGCCGTCGTGTCCAGCAGCACCTGCATGAGCCTCTCGCGGTGGCTGCGCAGAGCCTGGCCGCGCTGGATAGTCGCCCCGAGCTGCCGCGAGGAGTCGAGCAGCTGCGTCTGAATGCCATGCCAGTCTCCTTGGCCTCGAGATGGGTCTCCATCACCTTGCGATCGCGCGTGTAGCTGATGCGGCGGTGGCAGGATCGTCTGGCACAGGGAGTCGTTGGTCACTGTGTTGTCTGCCTTCACCCCGTCCATCCAGGTCGCGATAGCCTGCGCGCCGACGGCGCCCGCTCGCTCGCCCCGCCGACGAATCGCCCCCACTAGGGCCAGGAACAGGTGGGGATGGGGGGCGCCCAACGCGTCTAGCTCGGGCACCTCCTGGCGGCCTCGAAGGGCCTGGGCGTTTTCTCGTCACAGTTACTGTGTTTCCTCCACGTAGCATCTGCCCGTGATGCGCATGGCCTTGCATATGTCGCGGTCCTTGTCCACGCGCACATTGTGGAAAACCGCCGCCCCCAGGCTGGGCGCCCCGTGCGTCGCGCGGAGCGCGGCCCTCATCATCACGGGAAAGAAGGCTTGAACTAGTTCCAGCGGGCCCCCCCCCCCCCCAGCGCCAACGAGGCCAGGCCCCCCCGTCTCAGTCCGAAGGTGTTGTCAGCGTTGTCGAAAGTCTCCTGCAGCAGGCGCACGACGTCTGGGTTCTCGAGGCTCGGGTTCGGCACCTGTCGGGGGCGGCCCCCCTCTGCCGCGCGCGCGGCCGGCTGCGGGCCGAGGGCGCCCTCTGCCGCGGCCGCGGCCCCCGCGGCTGGTGCACCGCGTGGCGGTCGGCCCCCCCCCCCTCCCCTGCGAGTCGGTCTGCCTCGGTTTCCTCTGCGAGATCTGAGGGCGCGATCTCTGGCCGCGGGCCCTTGGCTCATGGCCCTGTCGGCGAGATCCATCGTGGACTCCTGGTTCTTCAAAAACACAGGCAGGGGCAGGGGGGGCGCGCGCGTCGCGAATGCGACGCTGGAGTTCAAAAAGACTCTTACAAGGACAGCGAGCCCGGTGGCATGCAATCCACGAGCCCTTCAAACGCTGTCTCCAAGTCTACGCAGCAGGGGCAATGAAGGTCCGCGGGCTCCTGGACTGGAGGGGCATACGGGCTCGCATCGCAAAGACATCTTCCACGGCGCAGCGACTGGGCGATATGTCGCTCAGCTGTGACCTGGCCCCCAAAGGTGCTCATGCAGTGGGGGCGCTGGTTAGCGATGACTAGCACGTGGGACGGGGCCCACATCGCACGGGAAGGATGGTGACATTGATGAACAATAAAGGCCCCTTTACTCTAGAATGCTAGCCCACGCCTCCGATCCTCACCATCTCCTGGAGGATCACAGACGCGTTCCAGTAGGGGCTCTTTTGGGGCTCCGTGAAGAGGACGTTGTGTAGACCTCGTGGCGCTCCCAAGCTGGGGGATATTTCTCAGTTCTGCGGCGTCGAAGCCGACGAAGTCCTTCCCCGCCTCGGGGGGCGTGGGGATGTTTAGCACACTGTAGGCCGCCAAAAACCTGGGGCCACCACGAAGGGACTGGAGCGCATCCAGGCCCTGCTCAAACTGGCGGGCCCAAGGATTCACGTCCTTGGCAACCCTGCCAAAGTCAATGAAAGTGGAAGGCTCTGCAAGTCCTTCCAGCGCGCCGAACAGCACGGTCAGTGCCTGTGCGCAGTCGGACGGGTAACGAAGGAAACGCTGCCACCGTCGTAACCGTCGAAACAACAGCTCGGCCCTGGAGTCCGCGATCCTGAGCGCCCTGAGGATCTGGTCTTCTGACATGTATGTACTTTAGCGTCGACCCTGGATGTGCGGGGTCAAATTCTGGTCGACGGCCACGAAGGACAACGCGCGCAAAGACTAGCACCACCGCGTCGAACCTGCGCAGATCTAGCTTGCCAGGGAGGCGCGTCTCTAGGCCCAAGTCGGCCGCGCTAAGAACCGGCCCCGGGAATGCCAGCCCCTTCAATCTTACCGAATGCGTAGTCTCCCAAACTTCCCAAGCCTCCTCCAAGCCGCCCGAATAGCCTCCAACCTTCTCTTCACCACCGCGCTACATCCTCCAGCCAGGTGCTCCATGCCCCCCAGATAGAGCGACTCCGCCGAAACAGCCCCTGGTAACTGGATCCCCTGGGACAACGAAGTCCAGGTCGCTGTGTAAGCACCTGGGCCCACCATCACGGGCATGGAATTCGCCTTCTCCGGATTTTGTGAGTACCCGCCCTCCTCCCACAACTAACGGTCAAGGCTGGCATTCGACTGAATAATTATGGTCCTCGCCTCCAGCGGGTTGGGCGCCGTCAGCGCCAGTGCGTTGTGAATGCCATATGGGCATAAGCCTGACGGATACATCATGCTTGTTGTGCGCGACCGCACATGCCATGACACTGGCGGCGCGAGCAATCGGAACATATTGCTCGGGCCTCTCATCGCGATGCATCGTGGGATCGCGGAGCTGTTCGCCTCTCCACGTCTCAGTCGGGCGCAGGGGGCCTCGCGCAAAAGGCCGCAACCGTTCCCATTCCCCATCCCCGATCCATGCCCAGGCTGAAAGAAACCAGACTGCTCTCCCGCCTGAGTCTCCATCGCAGCCTCCTCATGTCGCTGGCGGAAAAAGCACGGTCTTGAACTGCTTCGGCCGCTTCATCTACAGACTGCGAGGGGGCCGCACGTGACGTCGACGGAAACGCATTAATCATATTTCTTCTTAACCGGGATATGTGAAATCCCTCTCGTGCGAAGACGCCAGCCGCGCACCTTTGCGGCCAACTGTGCGGGGGTAGCGGAGGTCGACCTGCGCGTAAGTAGAGCCCGCGATGCCAGGACTTCCCAAAGGGGCAATAGAAATGGATGAGCCCCATAGCTTTGGCGGTCTTTTCAGGTTCCCACTGGAGAGCTGGAAACTACGGCTCCAGCGCCATTGACATGGGGTTCTCGTTTTGGACTTGATCTGCCCCAGGATCTTCTGGGGCCTCGGAGAACTTCGGGCACGGAACATGTAGTCGGCGGGGTTCGGGCTGCCGATAGGCATGGTCACTCAGATGCTCGACATGGGGCCATTGTCCCACCAACTGCTTGGTCGCATGCTGCATGATTCAATACCAAAGCTCAGTGGAGACATAATAGTTTGGAGTGCAACGTCGACGCGCAGCTTTCTTCAACTGATCGAGAATGCGAAACCTATCGTCGTGAGCCAAGGTGACTGTGCGGGTCCCTGGGTGAGATTCTGGGCCTTCCTCCGCAATCCTCCCGAGCGCCTCCAACATCGGCTGTTCTGGCGAGTCAAGCGCTCGCGCGCTGAACCTTCCCTCTCGAGCTGCCGGCGTCATCGTCTCAGACCATTCTGCCAGCGACGGAATACACTGCGCAGCAAATTGAAAAGATCGCTGGCGAGCTCCCCGGCAAGGAGAGCCAACCGCATACATCTTCCTCCAAAGATTGTGGCTATCAACAAGACTATGATGTAGGGGCGCTTCGTCCATCAACTCACCTATCCGTGCAATGTCAAGACGCTTCTTCTGAGTTTTGATGTGCTTCTCTAGGGCCCTGAGATTCAAACGATCGGCTTCCGTATCAAAACCACACCCAGCAGCCTTTCTCTGTTCCAGGAGAGCATTTCGCTGTTCAAGAAAGGGCGTCGCGGGGGGTCTGGCGGCGCTGGCGTTCGGCCTCAGGCAGGGCAGCAGCTCGTGCATCCTCGACCAGGCGTGCCTAAGCGACAGACGGGTCGGGCATCATAACATCCGTGCTCCACTGCTGTAGGCTGGCCTCCGGGAGTCTCTCCAGCTCGTCGGGGATGGGTGCCCCGACAGTGCCTTGACGACGTAGAAGCTTGGCGATGAAATCTTTGTCCCCCTGTGGACACTTATCTCTCTGTGGGGGCGCTTCCAAAATATGCTGAGCTTGCCACAACAGTGGCGCGTGATCCCGCGGTCGAGAATCGGGGATGGCCTGCAGGCAGCGCATCGCGTGCTTGAGTGTCCTGCATCGGGTAGTGGCCGCGATCGCATCTGCAGGCACCAAGATGTGGTCTGGCGAGCTCGTGGCCTCCGCGCAGTAGTAGGTCGGCCCCACAAGAAAGAAACTGTCTACTATCGCGAGATCCTCCATCTCCATGATGCACCACAGCTCGGCCGAGTCTTCGTTCTCGAGCCCCTGCGCGAACGGGGCCCAA